GCGCTGCCTCGCGAGGTGGGCCGGCGGCCTCACGGGCACGTGGACACAGAGGAGACTTGCTTGGAAGCAGATCACTGATAGTAAAATAATTTTATTTAGTTTCTTATTTTAAAAAAGGAAGCATTTCACATATAAATTTAGGCTTCAAGATTACAGTGCACATTTGCCTAGAGGGTCGCCCCGAAGGATGGCTGGGCTTCTGCTCACCGAGTGCACAGGGCCGTGCTGCACGCGGAGTCAGAGCGGAAGAGCTGGCGCAACCCTGCGCCAGGGCCCGTGGCTGCGGAGGAAACCACAGCTGGCACTCCGGGGCCACAGAGGTTCCCGCGTGGGGGTGGAAACCATCTCCAGGAGTGGAGCCCAGAGGTTGGCGACTAGACGTCCGAGACAACCGCCGTGTATCTGAGCAACTACAGACAGGTGGAGCGCTGGCCCCACGTTCCCAAGGTTCTCTTACAGACCGCCAGGAGCACCACATTCATTCATAAAGAGTCTTGCAGAATTAACTGAGAAAAACCAAAAACCAATTTCCCCCTATGACAAATGCCCCACAGCCCAAAGCCAGGAAGAAGACCCACTCAGACGCGGGCTTCCCTTTCCCCAGGAGTGTGTGGCACCGCCGGGCAGCCCTGAGACTGCCAGGACTGGCGGTCCCGGGTCTCTGCAGCGGTCCTGGACTTGCCCATTCAGCTTCCCCAAAGCACACACTCAGGCCTCACTGTGTGGCCCGCTGTCCAGCAGGGTGGCACTGAACGACACAAGGTCCCAGTGAAGGCGGTCACCTATAGCCCCAGGCTGTCACGCCCTCAAGAAAAATGGCACCACCGGCACCAGGACAACAGCGGGATCCCGCCCCCAAGAGAGGGGGAAAACTGGGGAAAACCACTCTGCCTGGAGCTCCTTGGGGCCAGGTGCCGAGGACGGCCAAGGATGCTTTCCAGGAGGCTCCCGTCCCACACTCCGCGGGCTCTCGGCGTCGTAAGGAGTGCGCGGCCCTCGGAACCGACCTTCACACACAAGTGTGGGACAAACGAATGCCCCCAATCCAGTTGTGAAACGAAATTTCCTGCAGTTGCAACACTGTGCAGTGACTGGCTGGGAGCCTCAGCGGTAAAGCCCCGCCCTGCGTTGACCAGCAGAGCCGGAAGGTGGACACACCAGGAGCCGGCGGTGGCAGAAGGCCAGGCACCACAGTCACACTTGGTGAGGGAGTGGTGCCCACAGTCATCGCACACGGGAGGCAGGGCTGGGCCCCAGAGCTCTGGCTGAGAGCCAAGGCTTCGCCTCACCCCAACCTCGAGCCCTTCCTATCCCCGAGCTAGGAATGTGACAAGCCACGGAAGAGGGCCCGCCACAAGGAGCTGCATCAGGTGGCTGCCTGCAGGCCCCTGGTCCCAGCTCAGCCAGAGGAAACAGAGGTGCAAGTCGCGTCCAGTCAGTGGCTGCTCACGTGGAAGCCCACTTCCCGGGGAGCCGCAGTGGCTGGGACGCAAAGCACACGACGAGCGAACCGGGCCCCAGGTACACCAGCTTCTGGAACTTACCAAATCCCACTGCCTCCTCTTGGCCTCCCATCCCCGGAATGGCTGAGCACACGTCTCCCGGGGACCAGCATAAACATCATTCGATAGACGTCGGCTGAGAAGAACCCCGCCTGTCACATGTTTAGTGTTGAGCATTCCAGTGCAGCAGCATCATGGTGTCATCTCCCCTCACTCACGAGGGCCAGTTTAGGAAGGAACACACACAGGAGCCTTGGTCACATTGTGGCTGAGACCACCCGAGCGCCAGGCAGCCGGCTCCATCCTGCCACCAGTGGACGGGCCGGGACTGTCAAGGGGGCAGAGCAGACAGGCACGGGTCCTCGGCGAGCCCCAGTCCACAGCCACCGTTTCCACCAGCCCCGGGCCACACTGGACGAGGGGATGGGCCGCCCTGGCATCACCCGGTGCCCTCCTGGCTTTGGAGGGTCTCTCCAGGGGGCTCGAGGGCTTCTGTGGAGGGCAGGGGGCCTTCTCCTCCAGTCCAGATCTCTGTGGGCCTCCGCGCGCAGGACTCCACAAACATGCGGGGGAGGCTGCTGCCAAAGTAGATCTTGCTGTTGGATGCGATGGCCTGGTACTTCTGGAGCTCCAGGTAAGCCGGGGTCAGTTTAAGCTGTGTGGGGTAAACGGGAACAAGGCTCAGGGGACACGGGGGCAGCTGTCCCTCCTCCCACCCACAGCCTCACCACTCGCTGAGGTCCCGACTCAACTCCAGACAATGGCCAGCGACCCTCTTGCACTCAGGAGAGCGGCCATGACCCTGGTGGAAAATTCCTTCAGGGAGCTCCCAACTCAAGGCAGGAGGAACAATCAATGATAACTAATGAGAGCCTGTCATCCGCATTTTGGGAGGCCGAGGTGAGTGGACTGCCTGATCCCACGAGTTTGAGACCAGCCTGGGAACCTTGGTGAGACCTCGTCTCTAGAATGAATAAAAAATCAGCCAAGCGTGGTAGCACATGCCTGTAGTTCTGGCTACTGGATGGCTGAGGCAGAAGGATCACCTGAGCCCAGCAGGTGGACACTGGGGTGGCCATGAGTGTGCCACTGCACTCCATCCTGGGCGACAGAGTGAGATTCCAACTCAAAAAAAAACAAAAACAAAAAAACCTAATACTTCCACAGTGATTTTCTAAAAGGTCTAGAAAGTATTTTCATATACACTTTCTTATTTCATCTACCTGGATTCAACTCGCAATCAATCTTAAATTTCTGTTAGTCCCTCTTTTTAAAATTTTTTTTATTTTTTGAGTTGGAGTCTCACTCTGTCACCCAGACTGGAGTG